ATCTTTCAGTAATAGGACAACTTCAAACGGCCTCCATGTGTATAACTGGAGGCACTGAAGGGAAAAAGTTAGGGGGTGTGACTACAAAAAGTCTTTTATTTCTTAGTGTAAGGATGAGGATTAAGGATATTGATAAAAGGAAGAGTAGTAAACATTCATATGTGCTTAACACGTATCAGCACCATTCGCAGCACTTCATATTTATTCAATTATTTCATTGCCAATACTCTATGAGACAAGCATTCTCATTATCACCCCCTTTCACAGATGGGGAAGCCAGGCACAGGGGGATGAGCCCCGTTTCTGAGGTCAGAACTAGAGATTACCGACCTAGCAGCAAAGCGCGGTCCCTGACACCAGAGTCCAACATCTTCATCACAGTCCTGTGGCCTCTGTGATTCCAAAGCTAAGACTTGGCATCTCCTTAAGGTGACAGAAAGTTCTCTGTCCTATTTCAAAAGTAAGTGACTGATATTGTGACTTGCTGGTGCAGCCCTGTCCTATAGAAATAAAATTGAGCACATATTGAATTTAACATTTTCCAATAGCCGTGTTTTAAAAATGTGGAGAAATAAGTTGAATTCGTTTTCAAAATGGATTTTGTTTAACTCACTTAGTTGAAAATGTTATCGTTTCAATATAAATTAAATACAAACTATTGATATATTTTACTTTATTTTTATAGTAAGTCTTTGAGAACTAGCAGGTATCTGAGTGTCCCCACCTCTGTGCACAGACGAAGCCTTGTTTTAATGGGAAACACAGATTCCAACACCGTGAAGATCTGAGCACTCCTCAGAACAGACTAAGGGAGGACAGACCACCTGAATATAGAAGACAGGGATGTAATGGGAGGGACACAGAGGGACTGGGACAGGGGGGAGGAGGATATGAGGCAGGGGGAGGGGCAGGGCAGGGAAGGGGCTCAAAGCTCAGTCTGAGGTCAGTCTCCTGGACTGGAATCTTGACCCATCATCGCTGTCTGGGGAACTTTGGGAAAATCATTATCCTCACAATGAGAGCTCCCTCCTCATGAGGCTGGAGGAGATGTTGCATTACAGCCTATTCCAATACCACCCCCCCTACATTAGACTCTAACCCTATTAGTTAGGAGGGAGTGCCTGGGTATGACCGGAGGCTGGTAAAGCTCCCTCTGGGGAGTGTCTCAGGTGTCTGGGATCTATTGGAATGATAATAGTTATCTCCCCTGGGAGGACACAGTAACAAGTGTTCTGGGGCTATGTGGCTGATGTGTGAAGGCATAGCATTTGTTGGAACACAATGGGATATGTTAACGGAAAGAGGCTTTAAGGCACACAAATCACACATGGTTGCTAATTGATTGACAGCAGTTTTACTTCTTTGAAGATTCTTAATAAAAACCATGCGCTGACCCGATTAAGGGCTCAGTCTTCTCTGGCTGAGTCCCTTGGTCTCGCTCAAATCTAACTTTTGTCTCTTGACTTTATTCAATCTGCATAGCTCCTCTCGAGACCCATTTGCCCTTGCCACGCTGGACGTGACAAGGAGAGGCTGTGCCTTCAGCACAGGGCTGCTGTTGGGTTATTGTGATGTCAGGTGAGGGGGTGCAGGTAAAACACTCACCAAGGGTGTGGCTTCTTTTCAGAGCTGAACACTAGTCATTCTGTGAACTATGTATGATACCTAAACATGTAGGATGACATTCACTCTGGGAGCACCAGTAGCACTGTGGGTCCTGGTTTGGGGACCTACTAGGTCCGATTCCCCGGGGCTGTGCTCAGTGCAAAGGGCATGACTGATGCTCCTTTAAAGATACTTCTGTGTAGAAACAACTCTCCACTCTGAAACCCACACCTGGCCCTTCTTCTGACCCCAGGAAATTACCAGCATGAGGCCCTTAGTCTCAGGGCTCAGACAAGAGCTGAGACAGACACACTGGGCAATGGAGAGCAGATTTGCACTCATGCTTCTCCCTTCTTGAGCTGCAAGAAGAGAGGATAAGACAGGAGCTTGGAGAGGCCAGCCTGAGCTGGGCAGCCTGAGGGCAGAGCTCCGGGAAGACCCTCCCCACCATGGACTGGGATTCCTTCTACCTCCTGCCCTGGTTTTCTCCACAGGTTAGAGTGTCCCAGGGCACCTAGGGGCCCTCTCCCAATGTTTCCCGCCAAGTCCTGAGGGGCATCCGTCCAGGTGTGGTGCAGTCAGCATCACTCTTGTATTTTGCATTTCCAGGTCTCTGTGCTCTGCCTGTGCTGACCCAGGCCCCATCTGCATCTGCATCTGCCTCCCTGGGAGCCTTGGCCAAGCTCACCTGCACCCTGAGCAGTGAGCACAGCACCTACACCATTGCATGGTTTCAGCAGCACCCAGGGAAGGCCCCTCACTACATAACGTACATTAGGAGTGATGGAAGCCACAGCAAGGGGGACGGGACCCCTGATCGCTTGTCGGGCTCCAGCTCTGGGGCTGACCGCTACTTGACCATCTCCAACCTCCAATCTGAGGACGAGGCTGAGTATTACCATCGTGAGGGCCGCACAATTGATGGCCAATGCGGGTAAGCCACAGTGGCATAGACAATGGAGATAGGAGGCCAACACCTGCCTCCTTTTGTCGCCTCATCTTCATGGTGTCTGGACGATCTGCTCGCTGTCCCTTTCCAGGACCCGGAGACATTGACTGTTTTCCTTGCAAATCCCACTCTCCTCTTGCCAGTGACACCGCTAGCAAGAGGTGATGTGGGTCATAATTTAGGCAATTTTCATGACACAACATTCTGTTTCCTCAACCACAGGCTTGTGGGGACCATGCTGGGAGAGACCACACCAGCCCAGAATGAAAAACACCCTGACAGAGTGGCTGGGCTGAGATGCCTGTGTCCCCAAGAGCCACTGGACCCTGAGCTCCCATTTTGGGCGCTGCTCAAGGAAGGAATATAGATCTTGGAGATCAGAGGTGACAATGGATGGCACAGCAGCGAACGTCTTACCTCTGGGTGCAACACGGTTTATGACAGGGGTTGAAGTTTCAGCAGAAGGCACTTGGCCCTCTGGGGAGGCAGAGCAGAGGGTTTTAAATGGGTGCAGAGCTGGGTCCCGTAGGAAAGTGGGTGCATGTTAGGAGGACTAACATGTGGGAGAACCAACAGGGAGCCCAGCCTGGGCTTCTCCAGCTGTGTAGATTCTCACTTGTGGTGCCAAGAATGGCTCCACACCTGCCCCGAGAAGTTTTCTAGGAATAGGTCAGGACTCCTGTCCACTAGGACAGCTGTAGGGCAGGGGGATGAAGATGCTCAGGTGGAAAATATGTTGACTTCCACCTCCACCACCNAGACTGAAGAACAAAACGACAGCAACTTGTCTGTTCCCCTTCCCCCAATTCCCCAGCACTGTTCCCATCCCCCCAATTCCCCAATAAAAATCTGTAAAAAAAATACATAAATAAAAATAAAAATAAAATGCACTGTTGAGATTAGACACTGCAGAAGAAGAGATTGGTGAATAGGATGACATAAAAATAGAAATGAAATAAAAGTATCCAAAACGAAATTAAAGAAAAATCAACCCAGCTGAAAGCAATGAGCAGAGCCTCAGTAATTTGTAAGATAACTTCATGCAGCCTGATAGTCATGTAATTGGAGTCCCCAGAGCAGAGAAGAGAGATACCGGTGAGTAGAAAAAATACTTCAACAAATAATAGGCAAAAGTGTTCCCAAACAGGAGAAAACAATAACTGAAATATCCGAAAAGCTCAACAGAAATCAAGCCCAGGAAACATGAGAAAATAGCTCCAACACTCACCGTAATCACATTGCTAAAACCCAGTGATGAGGAGACAATATAAGAAGCAGCCAGAGAGAAAATACTTGTCATATGCAAATGAACAAACACCGAGGAAAAACCAGATTTCTCATTAAAGTGATGCAAGTAAGAAGACAGCAGAGCACTAGCTCTAAAGAAAACCTTTTTAAAAATATACCTTTAAAAGGAAAACAATCTGTAAACCTTGAATTCTTCATGTAGTGAAAATCTTTCAAAAATGAAGGCAATTCCATTGACTCAACTCCCTAAACTATATTCCACATCCAGTGACTATATATATTGAATTATAATTGACATACAATATTATACAGCATCAACTTCAGGTGTACAGTGCACTGATCAAGCCTCTACCCCATCCATGAAGTGGTCTCCCTAACAAGACATGTGACAATCTCACACCCTACAAAATATTTACAGCATTATTAATTATATTCCCTGAACTGTCTTTCATATCCCTGTGGCAATATTGTAGTTACCTATTTCTGCTGTCTAATCCTTTCCCCTTCTCCCTCATCCCCACCCCCCTTCCAGGGCGGGGGGAGTGGGGCACTGGCTTGGAGGAGGGGGGTTGCCACTTTGAGGGGTAAGAAGTATAACTATTGCACTGTGTTAACACCTGAAACTATTTTGAAAAAAATAAAAACAATAATAATAATAAAATAAAAAATAATTAAAATAATATAAAAAAATAAAATGAAATTTTAAAATGAAGGCAAAATTAAACTTTTCAAAACACTCAGAAACTTACAGAATTTATCACCAGTAGCACCTCAACAAAAAAGAGTAAAGAGCGCCCACAGACAGAAGGAAAATGATACCTGGTGAAAACATGAATCTACACAAAGAAATGAAAAGCATCACATATGGCCACCAACATTCATCAATATAGAATCATCTGTCTTATGTTAATGCCTATAACACATTACTATATAAATAAAAAATTAATAACAATATGCACTGGTTTTTAAATAAATGTCAAAATAAAATATATAATAATGATAGCACACAAGTGGGAGGTGAGAAAACCTGTGAAGATATTTCTATACTCTGTGTGAAGTGACATACCATCACTGGAAGATAGACTGGATAAGTTAGATTACTGCTGTGAACCCGAAAGCTACAATTTAAAGAAAACCCTTTAATACTAAGAGAAGTAAGAGATATAGCTAGTAACCTGTATTAGTTAGGGTCCTCCAGAGAAACAGAACCAATAGGAGATAAATAGAGATACAGATACAGATATGGATATAGATATACATGGATTATTCTGTACAGAGAGAGACGTACATTTCCTGTATAGCTGATATACTGAGATCGACAGGTAGGAAGAGAGAGAGAGAGAGAGAGAGAGAGAGAGAGAGAGAGAGATGACAGATAGATAGATGATAGACGGATAATAGATAAATAGATAAATAGATACGTAGATTGAGATTTTAAGGAATTCGAGCATGCAGTTGTCAGCCTGGCATGTCTGAAATCGTAGGAAAAGCAGGAGACTGAATACTCAGATAACAGTTCGTATTTTAGTGCTGCGTCCAAATTAAGTCCGAATTATTGAACATGTTAAG